AGTAGCTGCTGCATTTCCCACCCACGGCTTATACTCGAGTCAATAAGTTTTCCCAGTTTTTTTTGTGTAAAATTAGGTGCCTCGGCTTATATTCGGGTCGACTTATACTCGAGTATATACGGTAATTTAGCCTCAAATCTATTTATTTCAATGGGACTGAGATTTGACATAGTTAGATTCAATTTTCATGTCCTCAAAACGATTAAAACAATTTTGATGACCAAGTCAAAGATTATCTATTCCAATACTTTCTCATCATCTTTCAAATGGGAGGCAATCTCCCTTCCCCTGCTGTTTGCTATAAATATTTACTGTAGTGTCTAGGATATTTCGCTTAAATTTGAAGATAAAATTTAAGATTATATTATTTTGTCATTACAGTAGTTTTCTTCTTCCTATGTGCTTTGTGCTTGATTAACTAGTTGTCTTGGCTTTCTGCTTTTGTTTTTTAAAGATTCTGTAAATTTTATAGAAAGAAAGAGGAATAAATAAATATACACAAAGAGCTGTGTACCTTTTGTGCAAATAGTTTGAGAGGACAGAGACATTCCTGAACTGAGGCATTATTATTTGCTTTTGTTTTTTGTTTTTATAAGTGATCTATCTTTCACTTTAAGTAAGAAAAGGGGAGAAAGGTTTTTCTTTTCTTTTTTGCCAAATGGTCCAGGTCGGCAGCTCGAAGTGGGGAGTCACAGAGGAGTTTTTGATACATTAATACCTAAAAGTTGCATTCTCAGAGGCATTAAGGCATGGTGTCAAGTCCACCCCTTACTTTCTATGAATCTATTTATTTCATTTTAGGTGAGTAGAGTCCTATCCTTTTTTTTTGCTTGTTTGTTTCTTAGATGGCACAGAGTGTTAATAAAAGGATTGTTGGCAAATGGACTGGTGACAGTGTATGAGCTGGACTATGGAAAACATGAGCTGATTTGCATCCAAAATATAAGACCTCTTGTGGATATGTTTAGAGAGCTGCCATTTCAGGCCATAACAGCCCAACTTGCAGGTATGTTGTTCTGATATATTAAAATAGTGACCACAAAAGTGAGAACATTGAACAAGACAGACAGACAGACGCATTTGAGGCCAGTTAATTTGATGAACTGATATTTTGCAAAAAAAATGAATCTTGATCATTGTGTCTTGTTCCTAAAAAACAATGTTCTAAGCTATTTTCCCATTTTCCTGAAAATATTTTTCAGTGGAATCTGCCAGATCTTGCTGCTTTCATTGAAATGACAAAAGCAACATTGCAGTAACACCTTGCAAGCTCAACCCTTTTTATATGTGTATGTGACATTATGACTCTCATAAGGTTCATCATTCTGACATATGCACATACATACATATGTACACACACACATGCACACGCATGTATGTACATAGACCTTCACAAGATATATTGCTATTTTTACGTACTTTACATAGTTAACAGTGGGCATTTTAAAATTGCATTATAATACCAATCTAAAATATACAGTACAGTATCTCATTATTGATTAATATTATTTCTTCAGTTTCTTGACCAAGTTAATTAACCATTATTGCACAAAAATCAGAATAAAAGCCATCGTATTATGCAGGAAGGTCAGTTTTCTGGCAAAGGTGTAGCTCATTTAATGAGTATATGGATTAAAATATTTCTAAAACTTATTGTGATGTTTTATGATTTTGTTTAATTTTCATTTTTGCTACTTTCCCTAGGAATAGAATGGCAGCAGTGGTCAGAGGAAGCGTCAATAGTCTTCCGAAACCATGTGGAGCAGAAACCTCTAGTGGCCCAAGTAGAAACAATTATTGAAGGGACTAATCCATGGGATCGGAAAGCGATTGTGTTTTTGGTGGACACATCACTACCAGAGAAAGATATATGGATTCATGACATTATGAATCAATTGTAATGGAGATTGCAAAGGCAATTTAAAACTTTTAAATACTAATAATTTAGCAAAATATAAAAAATATAAATATTAAAAGAACTATCACTTAAATCAGTTTGCTTCTGATTCTGTTAACTTCTTACATTAGAACAATTTCTTTTTGCTTCAAATTAAAAATTGGTCTGCTAGTTAGAAACTTTTAAATATGTTGAACTTTTATTTAGCTCATGCAATTCGGTTAGATTGCAGTGGTTGCAAAGCAGATTATTAATCATAATCCATTGTATCTTCTGACTGTAGATTATGTGTCACTAAATCTAAGCTTTCACAAATGTACTTGACTGCTAATCTGGTAATGGGCATGTCAATGCTTCATGTGTTTACTTGCACTATACATTATTTAAATGCAGACCAAAAGTATTTGTGTGTATATATGTGTGTATGTGCATAGCAGCCTGTATTGTATATATATCCATAACTTTCATACTGTTGCATGTGGGTTCTATTCTTAACTATATTTTACCCATACACATACACATAAAATACACACACAGAGGTTTTTGCATGACATCCTTGATTTCTGTAATATTTGTTAGTATTCCTATGCTAATTAAAAGCTGAATCCTGTATCATAACTGCATCATACATAGAGTTCAGTAGGGCTAGGCACAGAATTAATTTGCTAAATTGAACATGAGCCCTTCCTTTGAGATCCAGTGGGATATGTACAAATATTTTTAACATTTTTGTAACCATTTGTGCCTCTAACCCATGAAACAGAGAATGGAAATTCTTGCAGCTATTATTGGGTTTGTATACTGAGCTACTGAAACTTCCATGCTAGCCAGTACTAGTCCATTCTAGATGCAAGTGCATATTATCAATATTTTTGTATTGTCCTTTCACTACATTTCTGAATGTTTTTTACAAATAATGTCCATGATTATGAGAATGTAAAGCATAAAAATATGTAAGATCCTTTTTTTAAAAGTGAAAATTCATCCTGTTTTGGAGTATGTTAACACAAAGGGTAGGATGACATTAGCTTTCAAGTTTTGAAGGAAGGTTCCTAATAGGGAGATATTTTCCTCTTTATAAAGCTCAGGTTAAAATCATTAGGTGAGAATCTGAGGTTAGATAGATTCCTTACTATGGAATTTTGCTTCAACACATCAAGGCATTAGACTACAAATTGGGAGGCTGTATCACATCTGATACAGCAATTAAGGCATTAGACTACAAATTGGGAGGCTGAGTTCTAGTCTACTCTTAGTCCAAAGCGAGCTGGGTGACCTTAAGCCAGTCTCTCTCTCTCAAGCCTAGGAAGCAGACAGTGGCAGGATTCGCCTGGCAACAGGAATAAAAAAAGATTCAAAGGCGCACAGCTGAGGTCTTCAGAAACTATATGAAAAATTAATCTTAGGCAATCTCAATTGCCTCACTAATGATTTATGGTGCTTTCTAGTATCATCCAACCATACAAATGTCACCTGGCCAGTCTTTACAATGGATGCACAGCACCATAACATACTCTTAAATGCCATAACAGTATGTTAAGCTGTTCAATACCACAGACAATACTGCTACCCTACAAAAAGATCTTGACTATGTATCCGAATGGTCAAACAAATGGCAACTTCAACTCTCAACAAATAAATGCTCTGTCTTACATATTGGCAAAAAAAATCAGAAAATAAAATACAAGCTGAATAGTCAAGACCTTGTTGATGACCCAAGCTCTGTAAAGGACCTTGGAATACTCACCTCTAATGATCTGAGTGCTAGAGCCCACTGCAACTACATAGCCAAAAAGGCATTAAGAGTTGTTAACCTAATCTTACATAGCTTTTTCTCTGGTAATATCACACTACTAACCAGAGCATACAAAACATTTGCTAGACCAATACTCGAATACAGTTCATCAGTCTGGAACCCTCATTACATATCTGATATTAGCACAATTGAGAAAGTCCAGAAATATTTCACAAGAAGAGTTCTACTCGTTGTAGAATACCTTATGCCACCAGACTTGAAATTCTAGAACTAGAAAACCTTGAATTACGCCGTCTTCGGTCTGACTTAAGCATGGTATATAAAATCATACATTGCAATGTCCTACCTGTCAATGAATACTTCAGCTTCAACCATAACAACACAAGAGCACACAATAGATACAAACTCAAAGTAAACCGCACCAAACTTGATTGCAGGAAATACGACTTCAGCAATAGAGTGGTCAATGTCTGGAATACTCTACCCGACTCTGTAGTCTCTTCCCCAAACCCCAAAAACTTTAACCTTAGACTGTCTACCATTGACCTCACCCCTTTCCTAAGAGGTCTGTAGGGGGCGTGCATAAGCGCACCAACGTGCCTACCGTCCCTGTCCTATTGTTTCTCTATTCTTTTATTTTTCTTATATATACCCATTTCATGTATTCACAACTATGTACATACACTTATACTTATTATCTTGGAAACAATTGACAAATAAATAAATAAATTCCCCCCCTGCTGACCAACTTTTTCATGATTAAATAGAAAAAATATAGTTAACATTAAGTATGCTGCTTCTGTTGAAAGATAACAGCTGATAAAGCCTAACAATTTTTTGCACACCTGTTACATTTAGTTGATCTCAGAATAAGGAAAAAAAATACTACTCTGTCACTGTTAACAATTATACACAATTTAAACTAATCTGATTCAAATTAAGGCGTGGAGACATGGCAAGAAAAAAAATCCATGTATTTGTAGTCAGTAGGGGTGGGGGCACCGTATTTTTACTCCCAGTAAAGAGGAAAAAAGTATGCAAAATAGTGGGTCTTAAGCACCATGAAGAATTCCTTTTATTTCCAAAAACCCAGGAGCAGCTAAGGTGCCCCTAGCACTTTAAATGCCCGCCTGCAGATGTTACAATCTTTGAGAACATACGATCTGGGCACACAATATACCGATGGGAAGCGCATGTTTTTAAATGAGGGCGAGAGTGGCCCTGGACGAATGAACGTTGTCTCATTCCTGGTCGGCCAGTAGGCTAGGACCCCAATCTATTTACGGCCACGTAGGGGCGGCCGTTCTGGAATCGCTTTTCTAAACATAGCGACTCTTGGCTGTTGCCTCTCCTCCGCACGCCCCGGACGCTTAGAACGTCGGCAACGAAGAGCCCCCTCAGCCAAGGCTCCAGCCGAAGCCTGGGGACAAGCGGGGTAGGTCGGCCTTCCGTTTGCCGTCCTCAGCCCCGTGAGTGACAGTAGCGGTGGGAAGGGGGAGGGAGGAGCCCCCCGTCTGCTTTCTGCGCAACGTTAAGAGCTCCTCTGCGGGGGACGCGCCTGGCGACCGGCGGCGTGCGCCCTCTTCCACGAAGCCCACTGCCTGCAGCGGCAACAGGTAATATGTGTGTGCAGGCAGGTTAGGGGTGCCCAAGCTTTGGTGCCCTTCGAATTGGGACCTCAGTCCCTCAAGGAGCCCCGGCGTGAGCCGCTCAAGCCATATGTGGCCAGAGCGTTCCTCTGCCACCAAAAGGGGACCGGCGTAGGCACGGCGCCTATAAATAGCCGCTGCTTCTACTCTCGCTGCTATTTGGGGTTTTCTCTCTGTGTGTGTGGGTTGGGGTGTGTGTGTGTGTGTTTTTTTCTGGGGTGGAACTGGGAAGGACAGAGCATGGCAAAGGGGGAAATTGGGAGTTTCTAGTTTCCCCTGACAAAGCGGGAAGTTTCTATTCTCACAGGTAGCTCCGGGGCAAAGTGGAAGCAGTCGCCTCTCTGTCTCGTAGCCCTGGCGGAAAGAGTGGGTGCCCATGGAGGCGACTGAGCTTGGAAAAGTGGCTATTAGGTTGTTGCCTCTGTGTTCAGACTTTGGAGCTTGGAAATAAAGCTGGTGAAACGTCCTCCCCTCCCCCAAATTAAGTAATGGGGGGGAGTTGGGGGGGGAGGGAGAAGGAGACAAAGCTGTTGTAAAGCTCAGGGCACCTGCTGTTTAAAAGGACCAGGCAACAAGCAGCAGGAAAGTTGCCAAGATTTGGGGTTTCTTCCCCCACGCAAAGAGGATGCTTCTAAAAGATAACCCGCCTCTAACAATATGTTTAGCTAATACAGGTTGTCCTTAACTTATGACCATAATTAAGCCCAAAATTTACATTGCAAAGTGAGATACTTGTTAAATGAGTGTTGCCCCATTTTGCAAACTTTTCTTGCCACATTTGTTAAGTGAATCACTGTAGTAGTTAGTAACAAGGTTGTCATAAATATGAATCAGTTTCCAAGCATCTGAATTTTGATCATCTGACCAAGTGTGAAAAATGGTCATGTCACTTTTGTCAGTGCTACTGTAACTTCGGTCACTAAACAAATGATTTTAAGTCAAGAACTACATGTACAAACTATTTTTGTACATAATTCTAATTATGTAATTATCTAATTCTATTTTACCCTACCATGTGGTATGAACTGTTGTAAGTCGAGGACTAGTAGTATCCTACCCGTCACATATAGAATGGACACTGACTTGACCACTTTAGGCTAGTCAGTGTATCTCACCATAACTTAATGTGCAGGTAATCCTGGACAACTTATAACCACAACTGAGCCCAAAATTTCTATTGCTAAGTGAGACAGTTGTTAAGTGAGTTTTGCCCCATTTTACAGCCTTTCTTGTCACAATTGTTAAATGGATCACTGTGGTTGTATAGTAACATAAGTGAATCTGACTTCCCTGCTGACTTTGCTGGTTGGAAAGTCCCAAAAGTGATCTCATGATCCCAAGACATTGCAACTATCATAAATATGATCTAGTTGCCAAGCATCCAAATTTTGATCATGTGATTGTGAGGATGCTGCAACATTCGTTAAGCGTGAAAAATGGTCATAAGTCACTTTTTTTTATGCATTTGTAATTTTTTTTTTATAAAAAGTTTTTTATTTTTATAACAGCAACAAGAAGAAACAAAACCTTTCTGTTCAACAGTGTGTCAGTTGGGTACATATATCTTTGTGCACATAACATTATCATACATATTTTACTTGTATATGCTTATAATTGTTCTAATCAGTATTTTATATCACATGTATCACTTATTATATTATCCTTAACATAATTATTAACTTTCAATGATATATTTCACATTCATTTCCTTACTCTAACTCATTCGTTTATCAGTAATAATATATTGTACTTACATATTTCAATTTCTTACTCTTCTATCCAGCCATTCATAAAATAACTTCCAAATTTTATAATAATTTTTTTCTTCTTGTTCTCTAATTGCCATTGTCAATCTACTCATTTCTGCACATTCCATTATTTTCTTAATTATTTCTTCATCCATTGGAGTTTTGTCATTTTTCCAGTTTTGTGCAAATACAATCCTAGCTGTTGTTAGTAAATTGATAATCAAATACGTTAAGTCTTTGTTGTAACCCTCAGGCAAAATTCCCAATAAAAATGTCTCTGGTTTTAAGTCTATATGCTGTTTTATCTTTTTCTCCAGCCACATGTGTATTCTAGTCCAATACTTTTTGGCTTCTGTGCATGTCCACCACATATGGTAGTATGATCCTGGTGACTTCTGACATTTCCAGCATTTTGCTGACTTATCTTTAAACATCTTAGCAATTCTCATTGGGGGTAAATGCCACCTGTAAAACATCTTATACAGGTTCTCTTTATAGGCCGTTGACATAGTTAATTTATAGTTTTTAGAACATAATATCTGCTATTTATCCAAATCTATTCCATATCCAAAATTTTCCCCCCACGCAATCATTCTTTTACTTGTTCTTCTAATTTCACTCCTAATAAATAACCATATAATTTTTGATCAACTTCTCTTCAGTGCCTGTTAGGATTTTATCCAATTCAGTCAATTCCTTATAAAACCCAGCCATCTTAACATCTTAATACCTTGTATGTATTTGCAAGTACGAATACCAATTTATATTTATCCCTTGTAACTCTTAATTCTTGCTTTGTTTTGAGTTCACCCTTTTAATTTAAAATTTCTTCATATCTAATAATGTGTTCCTTTTTAAAAACCTGTGGGTATGTAAAGGCTTCTAATGTTGATAACCAGACTGGTATTTTCATATAATGATAGTTTCTTATTTTTTCCCATACTGTTAATAAAGCATCCCTAATATAGTGTCTCCTAAAATGTCCATGTAGTACCTTACTTTTTTTATACCATAAAAATACATGCCACCCCAATTGTAAATCATGCCCTTCTAGTGTTCATAATCTCACATTTTTCAATACAATCCATTCCTTCATCCACATCAATATTGTTGCCTGATAGTATAGTTCCCAATTGGGTAATTCAAAAACCCCTTTCCACCTTTACATTCTGCAATAGTTTTATCTTAATTCTTGTCTTTTTCCCCTGCCAGATAAATTTCAACATCATTTTATTTAAGTCATCAAAGTATTTTTTTTTCAGTTTTATTGGAATTGTCTGGAATAAATATAATATTTTTGTTCATTTTAATTGTCACTTTTCTACCTATTAAAGATAGTTATAAGTTTTTCCATTTTTCCAAGTCTATCGCAATCTGTTGTAATAATCTCTGATAATTATCTTCTTTAACTGTTCCACATCTAGCTGTCATTTGTATCCCTAAATATTTCACTTTTTTTGTAACTTGAATATTTAATTTGTCCATTAATCTTTTATTTTGTTTTTCTGTCATATTTTTTGCCAAGATTTTTGTTTTTTCTTTGTTTATTTTCAGTCCTTCTGCTTTGCCAAACTCCTCTATTTCTCTAATCAACTTAGGGCCTGTTTCCAAAGGTTCTTCCAATATAAAGAACAAATCATCTGCGAAAGCTTGTAATTTATACTCTTCCTTTTTTATTTTCATTCCCTTTATTTCTTCATTTTTCCTAATATTTCTATTCAAAATTTCCAAAGTCAGTACAAACAATAATGGAGATAGCGGACAGCCTTGCCTGGTTCCTTTTTGAATGTTAAAGTTTTCTGTCAGTTCTCCGTTTATCATTACTCTTGCTGTTTGCTTGTTATATATCGCTTTTAATGCTTTAGTGCAGCAGTTGCCAACCGGTGGGCCACGGCCCACTGGTGGGCCATGAGAAAATTTTGGTGGGCTGCAGAGAAATCTCACCCCCAGAGCACTCCCCCCCCAAAGCAATTAATCCAGGCTGCACAGAAACACAAGGCTGCTCAGCCCACATGGCCCGTGGGAACCCTCTCCGCCCACTCACTCCTTACCTGGTAAACTTGCCTGCTAAATTGCTATTTTTCCTTTTTCCGACCATCATCTGTTAGCTAGGAAGCAGGAAATGGTTGGATTTCTTGCTTTCTAGATAGTCTTTAGATCTTCGGCTCAGCACAGCTGAACCTCCCTTAGGACTGAAGGTTTGTTTGCAAGCAAATTCAGTGCAGACTCACGGCAAGCAAATTTGAGAGACTGAGCTAGCCGATGGCAGCTAGATAGATCACTGAATGATTCTGTGAGCAACTCAATCTGCCTGCTTTGCCTGATTATGGGTAAAAGTTGCTCTTTTTTTAAATAAAAAATTCAATATTTACACGCATGGTGTGTTGTGAGTTAATTTTGTGAGTTTGCTTGCTAGCAAATTTTATGAGTATGCTTGCAGGCAAATTTTATGTGACAGACTGAGCTAGACAATGGCAGATAGATCTCTGAATGAACCTGTGATTCTGTGAGCAACTCAATCTGCCTGCTTTGCCTGATTTTGGGTAAAAGTTGCTCTTTTTTTTATAAAAAAATCAATATTTATATAAATATTTATATTTACATACAAGCCATGCCCAGCCAGTCACATGACTACCAAGCCACACCCACAAATTAGGCCATGCCCACAGAACCGGTTAGTGGTCCCTGGGATCTAAAATTATGAGTTTGGTGGTCCCTGAGGTCCAAAGGTTGGCGACCCCTGCTTTAGGGAACCTGTCTCTAAAACGCATCTCCTCCAATTGCATCAACATAAACTGCCAATTCACATTATCGAACGCTTTCTGTGCATCTAAGAACACTAATGCCATTTGTTTCTCTGAGTGGGTTTCATAGTATTCCAGAGTATTCAATATTATCCTCATATTATTTTTTATTTGTCTCTTAGGTAGAAATCCATTTTGATCTGAGCATATAAAATAGTTTAAATATCTTTTTAGTCTTCCTGCCATTATTGAAGCAAATATTTTATAATCAGCATTTAGCAGGGAAAGTGGTCTATATTTTTTTGTTTGCTGTGCGTCAGTATCTTCTTTTGGTATAAGTGTAACATATGCCTCTGTCCATGAGTCAGGTACTTTATTTTTTGTCAAAACGTCATTCAATACTTCCAACATTGTACTAGAGATAACTTCCTGTATTGCCTTATAAAATTCATCTGGTAGCCCATACGGGCCAAGG